ATAAGATTCTGATACATTGTACTCATGAACTAGATGTTTGGAGATGTAATATCTACCGATGGCAGAACCTTAGCACAGAAATCATTCTTTTTTGAGAACTTTGCTGGATCTCACACGAATCACTGACACTTTACTTGTTTCAGATATTAACAAATATGATTCTGAACCGTTGTATTCATTAATTAGATGTCTGAAGAATTAGTATATATTAACTAACTTTAATACCTTGTGTTTACAAAGATGTTTGCAAGTGAAATAAAGGAGCCTCAGATCATAAACTGTAACCATGTAACTTGTTTTTTTAATTACTATCTACTTGTATTCCATATTTTTCATTCGCAAGATCTATTACCATAAGAAACAGATTTACAGGCTACTGCATATCTGATTGGCGGGCTATAGCGTTTTCAACAGGCCAGGGGGAGTTAATAAATATCCACCTAAACAGCAAAGGTTCTTTGTTAAGAGACTGATTTGTGGTTAGGATTATACGTAACGACGGTCTTGTATAATAAGATGGAGGCGGTTAAACAAAGGGAATAGCTTTTGACTAAGGTCTCTCACCTCTTTCTTTAAATTTTGGTTTTCCGTTCCTGGTTTATTCCAGGTCTTGCTTTACGCTGTCCACTTCCCCAGACATAATCTCCAAACTCTGTTTTAGACTTACCTGTTCTTCTTCTCGCGCATGCTTCGCCTTTTCCAATTCCTTAACTTCCTTTTCCATGCGATCGAACTTTCCATCGACATTCCTCAACTTGTCTTCCAAGCCTTTTTTATCAGCTTTCAGTTTGGTAATCCTTGTCTTGAGTTTCGCAACTTCTTCGTTTCGGGTTTTCAAGGCGATATCCAATTTCTTGTTTTGTTCTCCTGTCCTTTAATGCTTTCCTTGAGAGACTCGATTTCACCTTGCTGTTTGATGACGATTTCATTGATTCTTTCTCGATCAAACTGTGAAGTCTCATGAACCAAACCAAAGATGGCCCTGGCAGTTCGACCACGATTTTCAATCTCTCGAAAATGATCTTCACTCATCGTTCTTCTTGTTCAAGTGGAGGACGACGCCTACTTTAAAATGTTTGATATGTAAGTAGAGTCAGCGCATGAGCAGTAAGCCTTCTTGCTTAGAATTCCGAGAAATCGCTTCGCAGGGATTCTTTTTTAATTCGTCGAGTTTTTCCTCAAATTTTTGGATCAAGATTTAGCAATAACACGGCATGACAAGACGGAAAATACCTGCTCTGTAAGTACCTCCTGTTGCCTCATACAAAGCCTTAGTAAACTTTTCTAAGGCTTTGTATGGGACAACGGGAGGTACTTACAGTGCACGGATTTTCCATCCTGTCATGAAGCAACAGGTGGTCGGGGGTTTTAACATTAAGCGAAATTGAATCTTGATTGCAGCAACCGATCAATGATAATTTGGAAGTGAGATGACGTAACTTGGAACGTTTGCTTTCATCCAATGATTAATAATTTGGAAATAAATGTTTCCGTTATTCTGTGTCCAATAATATACATGAAAAAATTTCTCAGTTCTGATTGGTTAAGATGAATGGAGTTTTCAGTTAATTCAGTGCAGAAGAGAGGTAATTCAGTGCAGAAGAGAGTTAATTCAGTGCAGAAGAGAGTTAATTCAATGGAAAGAAAGAAACAAACCAGACATTCTGATTGGTCAGAATGATTAGTCAAGGTAAGGGTCAAGGTCAAGGTCATTTGCAGGGTTTGAATAAATTATTTTTGCACGTTATGCGCGCGCTTTTCTTCTGCGTAGTTACGTGAGGCTACCTCGTATTTTTTCATCTATATTATTAATACATAATCACATGATTTTCTCGTGCAATTTTGAATAAATAAGCACTTGTAAATTTTTTCAAAGACCACAAATTGCACTCACCCTACGGGCTCATGCAATTTTGTTAGTCTTTGAAAAAATGTACTCGTGCTTTTTTATTCCAAATTGTACTCGAAATCATGTCGTTACCTATACCTATACAAAGAGAACCCTCTAACTCACCCTTGTTCTCGAGAAATTGTTCCCAGATGTATCTCTTAATAAGAAAAAAGTGATAAATTCTGTTTCCAACTGAATGGGAACACTGATTATTCCTATTTGAAATCAATTGTTTTTTTCCTCAGTCAACATGGTGACCTCTATTCCTTGTCTTATTACTAAATTTTTTTTTTAACCCACCTCAAGTACTAACTTACGGCAGGGCTGCCACCTTAAAGTGCCCCTGAGATCAAAAAATTTTCTNTCTGCTCTGATTGTAAAAAAATCTGGCTTTAATATCAGCGAAAGCAGAACAAACAGCTTAAGACACAGAGCGTAAAAACACTTTAAAGTGTGGGCTTGCAGCCAAAACACCGAGAAAATGAAAATTTCTTTAAAAACCCGTCAAACTATCAACCATCTGACAGCCAAGTCAGCGTGCTATCAAAGGGTCTCAAATTCATCCCAACGCCCGTGACAAACGAATTTAAAATCAGGCCAACTTTTGCGAGATTTATTCGCAAGACGAATGCGCCTCCGCTACACCTTTCACGGACAAAACAAAGAACCACTTCTGTTTCATATCAAACTGAATTCCACCGGTTCAGTCTTCCATCGCCCTTCAGAGCTACTTGGAAAATTGTCATAACGCTACTTGCAGACTGTATCTAAGCCAAAAAATACCTTGTAACGCAATGAGGTCACGGCTCTAAAAGGGTTGAAACAAACTCTACTTTAAACCCCACCGAAGCAACACAACAATAGTCATCATGAAAAAGACAGAAAAAACAAAAGAGGCCAAAGTGCAACTCAACAACAGAGTTCACTTCAAACCGCTGATGGCTTAGAAATGGCTTTCACAAACTCCCGATATCCACCTTCGGATACACAATTAGCCATTGCCGAAAACTATTTTTACTAATCACCCGATCATTTCTCACAACAAAGGAAAATCCCTTACGACAAGCAAAAATACAGTTCGAAGGCGATAAAGCGATGCGACCAAAAAGGCCACATGGGGAGTCCGTGCCGTTCTGTGTTTATCTTTATTCGCATGGCAAAAATTCATCCTTTTTTCGGCGCAAAAGTATCCACAGAAGCTTCAGATGATTTGTGGGACAATTCATCGTCTGAAAAAGTCGACATTTCCCGACTGACAACGAAACAGTTCTCAAAAAAGTAATGTGTGTCATTCTCTATGCAGCGAACAACGAGAGTTGTGAGAAAGCAAAGCATAAGTTTGTTGAGCCTTTGACGTCATGATGACGTTTTTGCGGGCTCGGCTGGAACATGTTTTCAGCAATGGCGGAAGATTTTTGGACGACTTTAAAGCGGTAAAAATTGGTCATCGAAGGTTTGTTTTGAGTTTTTAATGGAAAAAAGTGTCTTAACTTGACTCAATTCAACATTGTGTAAACAATTTAGGCCAAAATAAAATGGTCAATTTTCGTCTTAGGGGCATTTTAAAAACTGGGTTGGCAACTTTAAGGGGTGGGAAGAATGAGGGGAAGTCTGGGGACAAGTAACATTTTAAGTCTCCCACAATGCTACACGAGTCGCTGAAGTCGCGCATGATCACTGCAACACCTTTCCAGGAAAACTAGCTAACGACCGTCTGTTTATGTTAAAAGTGTAGTTCTCAGAAAAAAAGCGAAATCATTTTAATAATCATGGGCATAGTGTTTATTTTAGCTCTGACATACAGGGATTATTTTCTGAACGAAAAGAAGCTACGTGACTTTGTCGAATGAGTGATTTAGCGTTTGTATGTAAAAGTCAAAGACATCAGGCGACTCAACGCAAAGACTAGTCGGTTCGCAAACGATCGGAAAACAGCGTTAAAGATGAGCTCATCACATATTTGCCCGGTTGTGTTATTCTTGTTTAGCTTTATTCCGTATTCTGTTGTCATATCATCCAGCATCACGTTAACACGCGGATCTGACGCGGTTAAATCAGTTTGTTTTTTTTATTGAATTCGCTCGAGTGTTTCCCATGATTTCCACCTTTGACTGAAATAAGACTGTTTACTCTGACAGTGAAGTGCTTCATACCATAATTAAGTATCTTGCAATGGTAATAAGGGGCCTTAAGCAAACCACGACAGCGACGGCAACGTGGACATGGGAAAAACAAAAGATCTAATTTGCAGAAAAATAGATCAGCACGTGTGTTTTAAAACTTAGTACATTTCTTAGCCGTACTTTGCAAAACAACAACGTGAAATCACAAAAATTTGCGTCGTCAGCGAACCGAAACCGAAACGGCAAGTTATTTTAGTTTCCATTTAGAACTCAACGCTACTTTTATACGTTATGTTGAGGTTGAGGTGTGGCGCTGTATGAGACGGTTAACACATGCAACAATTTTCGAAATTCTAATCAAAAGTAGAAATTAATTTTTTAATCGACGTCTTCCTTGGCGTTGCCCGTCTTAACTGCTCAAGGTCCCTATTGTTGATATAGCAGACAGTGATCATGACCTGTTGCGTTATGCACAAAGAGTTCAATTTCTCGGAAATCCAGTAACTCTTCGTGTGAATTAATTCAAGTGAAAGCATCGTGTTCGATACTGAACTCGTAAATAAGCTTCGTTTTGGTATGTACATGAAACCAGGAAAGTAAAGCGTTCATTAGCTTTTATTGGCTTTCATTATTTATGAAATTTTTGGTCTTCTCTACCGACGTGCATTCTATATTGGCGATCCGAAAGAAGGAGGTGTAATAAAAGCTATCAATATGGTCTCAGGTCAGTTTTGTCGTTTACTTCAGACGATTCTCGTGTACGAATTAATTGGCCCTACGGAAATTGTGATTTTGAGCTGACATGGATTTTCTCCTTTCTCGACATCCTGAAATAGATGAAGACTTGAAAGAAAATGAAAGTTGAAATACCCCTAGAACACCATCTCTCTGCTGCCTAACGGAAGTCGAGTATAAATGTTGAAATCGTCACTATTGCTAGTGGAAGAATTATAAATTACCTACTTTACTGACGAGGCTCAGCACTTAGCGAATACTGTAGTTTCTTATATAATTTTCAGTGTTCGCATCACAGTTCTTCACTTTTATCTGCGTATCATACAACGAACATGTGATCTCAAGTTAGTAATAAACCAAACCTAACTACAATCGGCCATTATGTTAGAGAGCGAAGCAAAAGAATTGCGTCTTGTTATCTCAATAAGGCAATGGTTTTATTCTCATATGAACAAGGCGATTCAAAGTTGTTCTGTTCAAGCCTGAAGAGGCAACAGTATTTGCGACTCTCTACACGTAGGCTAAATTAAAACTTCACATCTGTTGATAATTTTCATTTGGAATCGAAATTTTCTGCCTTACTCCAAAGTCTTACATCTCATTTAAAGTTCAAATAGTTCTCCCTAATAGAAATATTGACAATTTCTTTTAAAATGCAAAAATAAAATACCGTGATGTTGTAAATGTTCGTCCCGAAATTTTGGCGAGTGACACCTTAAAGCTTTAAACAATAATTGTGAGTGTGACTTAATTCGCATGCTTCTAAATATTATAGTTTCTTAGTGACTAAATTTGAATCTAAAACTTTTTCAGCGAAACCAGATTATGATAAAGCACAGAGAAATAACTCACTCCATTGTCTGAACATGTTTCCACATAGATATCAACTCGTGCACTCGTTTCAAAGACAGATAACCTTTTAAGTTACCTTTGGAATCCATGAGTTCTGCAGCCCTTACGAGAACCTCTTCTGTTAAAGGAGTTGGATGGGCATCCACATTTCGACTCTCCTGGAGTGATTTCATGGCATATTCGTAACATTCATCCCAACTCAACTTTTCCTGTACTTCGTTCCACTTTTTTTTGGATCGCTCCTTTTCCTCCTTCGGCTGAGGAAGTTTATCCAAATCGCGCAAAATATTCTTTATCTTGTAATTTCTGTTTGGCTGGAAAGAATTTGGGAATATTACCTTATACAGCTTGTTTTGGAGCACTCGGCACAGCTCTCCCAAAGAAAGCGAGGCATGAAGCTCTCGATCAGCAATCTGCAAATGCCTTGGTAAAGGAGCATTAAGCATTTGCCGTCCTCCTGCCCTTTGGAAGACTGCTAATGGCGGTGGCACCTCCTTGTGTTGTGATTCTCGAATCTCCTTTATCTCTTTCTTTATTACTTGGTTTCTGCTCTCGAACCTGCCTGTGACCTTGTGGAAGTTTTCTTGTAGTTCCATGTTTTTCTCTTCTTGGGCGATCTTTGCCTCGTTCAGTTCTCTGATGTCCTTTTCCATTCGGGTAACCTTGACAGTAACAGATTTGAGTTCGTCTTCTAAGTCCTTCTTATCACTCTCGAGTCGACCGATTCTCGCTTTGAGGGCTTTAATCTCCTCGTTTCTAGACTTCAGTTCCACGTTTAACTCTTGATTCTGCTCCTCCAAACCTTCCACTGATTTACGAAGCTCATCAATTACTTTGTTCTTCTCATCAATCTGCTTTTTGAGAGCTTCGATATCCTCAGTGTGCTGACTAACAACCACCTCGTTGATTCTTGCCCGTTCTTGATACACTTCTCTTTTCAAAGTGACATTCATCCCTAATAAAGCTGCCATTGGATCAAAATCTTCGCTCGGAGCAATCTGCCGGAGTTGTTCATCCATCATGATTCTGGGGAGGATGTAAACGGCGATCTTCGTTGCCTAAGCGAGACGATAAAAATGGCTCGTCCTTTTCTTTATGAGTGAAACTTATGGGCATTAGTGTGACGGTAGGCAGGTAGTCGTTCACAATAATTAATGACGCGGCATTTTCCCTGGCCAATCAAATATTTTGTTCCAAGACCACGTGGCTTATTTGTTTACATTAAAAAAGCACAAATCCAAGGATGAGAATGTACTGTTTTTTAGTCTTACAATGGCTTTGCAACGTATAATTTTCAATCTTTGGCATCATAAACCAAAAAAATAGCTAAATGCAAGGTTTAATTCAAATTTGTCCGCAGATATTCCTTGTGAAACATATGAGCACGCGCAAACGGGAAACGGAAGTTTACAACCGATTTCTAGGAAACTTGTGTCCCGGTGATGGTCATGTTATTTTCGAACGCTACATCCGTTCCGCTCTTTAAGTAGAAGTTATCGATATGTTCATCAGACAGCTAATTTCAAGATCTTAAAGTTAAAACTTTCGCACGAAAGATGACAACCGAGCGTCATTTATCTCAGGCACTGAGAGGGGGCTGTATTCAACACCATGTCAGTGAAAGTTTCATCGCTGTGGTCTTCTACCATGCATAACACCCTTCTCTTTTATACCTCGAAACATTAGTCGCAGGTATGCTAGCTTTTGCAGGCAATATTCTATTCTCATTGCTCTCTCCCATTCAGAAGGACGTGTGCTGCCGGAGAACGCACCTTTTTTGATAGACAGCTGTCTAAGATTTTCCTCTATAAAAATTTTGTGACCTTGTGAGACCTCGAGAGTATCGATATTTTCACAAGTAATTCATCATCATAAAAGAGTACCGAGGGTAGCTTGATTGGTTCAGTGAAGAGTTTAATACTGTTCAGAAAAGAAATGAAACCAACCTAAAAGACATGACTAGAACTCCATTTAGTCACAATTGTCTTTTTGTCTAAATCAGGTAAATCGAATACATTTAACAATAGCGAAAGTACGGTACCTAAAATTTACATCCTGCCGTTAATATGAAAACACAGGCTTCTGCTCTCTACATTTTTAACCTGTAGGATAATGTTTGCTGGCTTATTTCATCATATGAAAAGTTCGCCTAAGTTTATCCAACAGTCAATAAAATTCGTCCAAGGATAAGTACGAGTGTTTATTCTACAGCCAGCAAAAGTTCTTTATGCATTAAGGGCAGGTTCAGAACCCAGCGTGATGGTTTGTCCACGTAAAAGTCAACCGCAAAAGTTAAATATATCTAACGGTGTACTAATGCCAATCTATATGGTACACTTTTTGTATATGTGCACTGCTTGCCTGTGACTCAGGTATGCTTATCGTTCATATGTGCCAGCTGTTTCCACATTTCTTTTAACTCATTGACACATGACATCGAGTGCCAGTCTGCCAGCTTTCCTGCGTCGTCCATCAGCTTTACCGCATAATCCACCATGTCTTCGCTTATCTCGGGATGAGCGGTCAAATTTCGGTTAGTCTGGATAGACTTCATTGCTCTCACGTGTGTTGTTTTACATTTAAGTTTTGCTTTTAATTCACATATCCTTCTCGCTTTTATTTTTTGCTGCTCGTTTTCCAAGAGGTCTTCTATATCTTGGTCGATATGTTTGATCTTGTAGCTCTTCATACTATCGTAAAAGTCTGGAAGTACTCTTTGGTACATCATTCCTTGAATTTGCCAGGATAATTCACCAAGGACCAAATTAGCAAGAACTACAGGATCGGGCAAAGCCTGGATGGATGATAAGGCTATTCGTTCAGGAACCGCCGGTGCCTTAGTCCCAACTTCTAGAACATCCACTTTTTTCCTGAGAGACCTATTTTCACTTGTAATTTCTTCTAGATGCTTAGTCAAGCCATGCAACTTTTTGGTCAGTTTCGAAACGTTCAACTCCAGTGTAACATTTTTCTCTTCAAGAGCCGTGTTTTCTCTGATGCTTTCGTCGAGATTTTCTTTGATATTATCCATTCTCGTCGACAGTTTGGCAATTTCGGTCTCATTTCTATGTTTTATCTCGGTGACTTCTCTTTTCATGGCCTCTAGTTCGACTTGAACAACTCCCAATTTCGTCTCCAACGTTTTCTTCTCCCTCTCCAGTTTTTTAATCTTTTCCTATAGAGTCCTTATTTCTTTGTCCTTCGACTCAAGGCTAATCTCTAGGTTGTCGTTTTGCTCTCGTAGATCTCGCAGATCCTTGCTTAGCTTCACTAATTCTCCATCCTTTCTTTCGATTTCTTTCTTCAGTAAGTCGATCTCCTTCAAAATTTCGGGATCAAAGTGTGACCTTCCTTCTACAGTAAGCTGTAAAGAAGATTTTGTCACTATGTCTCGGTTTGGCCCCAACATTCTTCTCGGACAAAATTTTCTCGAAGTTCAACCGAAAAAGGCGGTCAGGGAAATTAACGGACGAGAAGCTGAGTCATTAAGAGGAGTTGTCAATCATTATGATGCCAATTTTTTCCATATTTGGTGTTTGAGTTTTATCAAAACTCAGCCAGTTGGTTCCGTTCGTGTTTTTGTTTGGCTCACACGAATTATAAACCACACTATGTCATGATCTAAGATATTTATTCCGGGATTTGTTACGGAGGACAGAGCGTTTGTTACGCGGTTTACTATCATCGAGGATAGGTTCACGTCCAAGTTCGGTAAGTTACGTAAGCTTTAAAGCTTCAGAAAAGCGGTCATTTTGTATTTATGGGTATAACATTGTCGAAGATCGTTTTTTATCAAGTTATTCGTTCATCTTTATTGCTTAGAAATCACACGCCGGCTTTCCTACTGTCGACTTGTCTTCTAATTGTGGATTACAGCGAGGAGGATTGGAACAAATTGTTGGACAATAGAAAATGTGGAATGAAGTAGTGTTTTGGTTTGCCCAATTTATGTACAGCTAGAATTCACGCGACTAATATGACTGATTCCAAACTTTGAGGAAGTAATACATTGAAACTCAGATACAAAGAGGTTGTGCTTTTAGTACAACTAAAATGTGATTAGTATTATGTTTTCCAAGTAATGCCCAGAATTATTCAGACCTTAACATTTCATGACCTCCTGTAAGCTTGGCAGTCTTCTAAATTCTCTTCATAATGGTTCAGATAAGCATTGATATTTAAACTTGGTAGTAATATATGTGTATTAGTCCTTTATTTGGTAGACTACAACTTCCTTTCAGTTACTTGTTTGGTTTTGGTTAATTCATCACAATACTGATATACACGAAAAATTACACTCTTGATTGGCTGAAAACAGCTTGGTGCCTTTTTCATCTAACACTAGTGCAAAAGAAATAACTCAAGTACAAATTTAAACTAGGCTCAGCAACAATAGATCACACTAGAAACCAATCAGAGTTACATATGACGTAGGTTGTTCTGATTAATACACACAGTAGCCGACCCAAATAAACAAAAGCTTGGATATTTTTCTGTATGTTGATAAACACTAACAAATCTGCATTCCTGAGTAAGATTTCAGCTGAAGGACAAATGTTGATAGCACATCAAGTTGACCATTTACATGATGACATCAAGTTCACCTATTCATTTCATGTCTCCACATAGCTTGAATTTTGGAAACATACTGGCATGAAATGACAATCTCAATTATAAGAAAGTTCGAAAGATTCTGATACTTTAAATGATATGATACCATCCTGCACTTGCCTGTACATTGAACTCTGTTGTGTTTAAGTTATCTCTGATTACTGTTCCTGAAATCTGTTATGGTGACACTCTATCTCTATTGAACTTTCTGTTAAATAAAACCTCCAGGTCAAATTGTAAATCTTATTGGGTTATAAATTACAAGCAATGTTAATGTAATGTTACTTCAGAGTACTACTCAACTTATGATTAAAATATTGCTTGTGTTATGATAATAATAATAATAATAATAATAATAATAACGGTTTATTCACAGTATATCCACATAAAAGGTGTGGCTCTTCATCTGTGAAGGCCCCTACGATACTGATATCTAATATTAAAACTAAATTATAATGACTAACTAAATTGTGTTATGATCTTGTTATGCACCTATCTTTTTCCCTAAATTCTTCCATGTGCAAGTCCGTATCGACCTACCTCACCTAAATTTGTTTGTGTTCTTTATTGAAAATACAGTCCCACAAAACCCAAATACAATAATTAGAATAAACGTTTTGCTCTCAACCAACTGAAAATAGAACTTTGTGCCTCAACCAGATACGATAATTAGAGTAAACGTTTTGCTCTCAACCAACTGAAAATAGAACTTTGTGCCCTAACGGACGATAGAAACCTACGCTTAGTATTGTGTTACTTTACATGTATGTATTGTCCAAAATTGGTCATACATTCAAACCGAATCAAGCTCCCTAGTGTAGATTACATCATTTCCCGAATTTCCCAAGTTTCCCGACCCTTCTGCAAAGTTTCATCCTTGTGTACAGGTACACAAAATGCCAAAAATATTCATATGAAATGCTTCCCTACAGTTACTTTCACGTCACTTGCCTTGGAAAAGACAAATCAACTTACAAACTTCAGAACTCAATTCCACATCGTTACGTAAACAAAATCAAGACTGAATCTATCAGGCCACTATGGGGGATGATGCTGACGTTTTTTATAGTTCCTAAAATCCTCAGGTTGCACGTATAACCTTTGTTGTCAAAATGAGACCTCCATAACAAAGTTTGGCCATTAACCCTCATCGTGAAAATGAACATTTCAGGACTATTGTAAGCTACTTATCTTGTTTTATTGATGAACAGGAAAAATATTGAAAACTATCTAACTGTAATCAGATATTAGCTCTTCTATTAGAAACTCATAAAAACACCAGACATTAAGAGGCAGCTAAATCTCGTGAGCTACACATGTACGCATTGCAGCCCTAAGTTTTTTTCTGGTCATTGCATAACGATAACCCTAACCCTAACCCGGAAAACTCTACAATTAAACTTAAATTCAAGATGGCAAACGTTGTGTCGTTGTTACAGAAGAAAGACATTTTTCGTTCATGAAATTGTATCAGAGAACACTGAAAAGTGAAC